ATTATTCTACCAGATCCAAATTATTGTAAGTTCAAAAACTGTTGATTTTTCGTCGCATTTGAAGAACGTTCACAATTCCACACAGAGTTACACATAAGCATGTATAATATATAGTCTAATAAGTGATGACATTAGATTTGTCATCTTATTTATATTTACTTTTTATAATTTATTACTCTAAATATTTAAATCATTGTTAAATTATTACTGATTTTTCGAATTTCCTCGAATTTTCGAATAAATAAATTCAATATTTTTCTAATTCTAGCAAAAAATAAAAATATATTAACTAAAATTTGACATATTTATGACATTTTCATGATTTCTTTATGACAATTTCATTTTTTAAAATATAAAGTTCTCAATATAGTATAATAAATAATTTATAAATACCCACAATTTAAATCAAAATTTAAAGAATTGCGAATTAGAGCGTATTTACCTAATAAATATTTCCGAGCAAAAATAAATTTCGAATAACGAACGGAAAGTAGATCAAATTTTAATATTTTTTGGCAAATTTAAATTTTTTTTTTTTCTAAAATATAAATTAAGGTAAGAATAATCTGTTTAATTTTGTTTCGAAGGCAAAAATTAAAATAATTTTAGTACTGTGGTGTGCTTGCAATAATAAAAAAAATTTTTTTTTAATTTTAAAATTTTTTTGCAAAATATTATGGGGACAACGGTAATCTTGTAATTTAATATTTTGTTTGCTTTATATTTATTTTATATTGTGAATAACCTTATAAAATTATTTATAAATTTTGCTCCGTGTAGACATTGAAAATTCACTTTTAATTTATAAATCAAAATTTGAGTACACGTGTACCTGTTCAATTAAAATGGGATCCATTATTGTTCTCAAATTTTGACTTTTCCTCCAACAAACACAAAATCAATAACTGAGGAATCCGAAAAATCATTGTTTATAGAATTTTTATACAAATATTAAAAAAAAACATTAATGGAACGTGACTGAAAGTGTTCTCTTTTGTATAAACATAAATCAAAATTTCATAATTAAAAAAAAAAATCAAGTAGGAAAAATTTTTTTTTTTTGCAACCTGTACGATTTTGCATAAACAACGAAATAACTTTGAAATTTGTTTGAAAAATATTTAAAAAAAAAATTATAAATATTTCATAGGCAAATGGAAGAGGATCTGGTGGAAGATATCAAATTCTATTGTGAACATTGAAATTTTTAATGAAAAATTCATATATTTTTGCTATACCTCTTAGATCAAGCTCATATAATATGAATCAAGCTCATTCGAGATGCAGAAAAACTAGTAAAGTATACGTAAATACATATTTAAAATTCCAATTTAACCTTCTGTTTACCCATCTCAATTAATTAGAGAATTTCTAATTTTTGAAGTAGTTGAAATTTATTCACACAATGCTCTGGTCCAGTATCAAGATTTGTATAGCAATATCTGTTGGCAATAATATTTGAAACGATATATTGGGGATACAATTCCAATTGATTGTTCGAACTTTCGGTATATCTTTTTAGTAAGTGATTTAAGCACATGTTACGTTTATTAAGACGGTCAACATGAAAAATGAAAAAACAGTGAACTGAGTCCTAAAACCAATATTTATAAGTAAGGAATTTCAGAGTATAACTGCTAGTGCTTAATTTAATAAATAACACTCAATTTAAATCCATAGATAAAGTAATAATTTCCAATTCCATTTAAAAATGAATTATTGAATGGAAAACTACTTTACATCTAAATGAGAATTAGTCAAAAAATAATCTGGAATTTTGAAGTGTCATTTCTCAGACTATCTGTTTAATATAGCTTTCAAAATTTCAGGTAAAAATTCGAATCAAATTCAAACTCAATCTATTTTTACAATTAACGAAATTCCTGAAGAAAATTAAAATAAAATTTTGAATACAGCAATTTTACTAAAAAAAAATTTTTAAAATTTGCTGTTTTATTACGAAAAATATTTCTTTAAATTAAGATTAAAATTGCTTAATTTATAAACTAAAGTAGATCAATTTTTACCAAGAAAAAAATATCGTCTAAAAATAACTTTTGAGTGCATTTTTAACCTTTTTTCCGCCCATATTTTGATTAAAAAATTTCTAATAATTTCGTGTAAAAAAAAAAAATTAAAATTTAATTTTTTTTTTGCAATTTTATTTTATTTTTTGCAAAATATTTGCAACGAAAAAAAAATTAATGAAAAATTTAAAACTATTTTTTTTTTCTTTATTTTTTTTATTCGACATCGCAATTATTTTCATGCAAAAAAAACAAATCAAAATATTAAAACAAAAAATTTGACAAAATTTCTTTGCTTTTACACAAAAACACCTATGCAAAATATTTTTTTTCAATTTTTTTTTTTGCTATTATTTTGATTTTTTATTTTTTTCTGTTTAGCCTACCTATAATTATTGCCCGTTTAATTCTACATATTATACACAGAACACACATAGTTCATTCATTCCATACAGACGACAATCCAAACAAACAGACACAAAATATAAGAAAAAAAAAATTGTACAATTTCTACACAAATTTACTTGCGTATACTCGCATATATACGCAAACAATTACAGGGTGATTTTTATAAACACTATAAAAGATAAACCGGTTTTTACTATTTAACCAGTATTTATTCAGCTTATAAGCTGAATGGTGTAATTATACCGTGATAAAATCTTATTTAAGAAAGTTGGCATATGGGTTTAAGGATTTGTTTGTACAAGTTAAAAATATTGAATCTAAAATTGAGTTTGAATATTGTGATGAAAAATAGTTAATCAGTAAAATTATCGCTAGATATAAAATTAGAAAACTCTTTATGCCTGACTTGTGAGTATTTTTCTCTTAAATTTTATTCAAACCAATTTAGTATATATTTTAAGCTCATAAATTACATGATTGTGCTATAGAATAAGATTATAATTATATAAAAGCAAAATCTTTTGATAAAATCTTTATAATTTTATAAACCCAAGTGAATTGTTAAACAAAACTAATCGCGTATACGTTAATGATAATTTAAGAATAATTATAGTTGTCGAAAAATTTTTCTTCTAGTTCGACAAATCTTCAACACTTGCTAGTTTCAAACATTAAAATTCACAATTTTGTATTTATGCTGTAGGTGCATTCCTACTTTATAGACAACATTTTAACCCTGCCTTTTGCAGCGTTGGCTCAGCAAGCTTTAAATCGCTAATATTCTTACCGGACCAATTACACTTAAAAAAATGAATTAAAATTTTTTAATATTGGACGTTACCCTGTTAAAAAAAAAGTTATTATTGTTTATATTAATGTGGCGAATTTTTATACGTAAAAATACAAAAGAAAAAATTAAAAAGAAAATTGTTTTATTCTTATTTAAATTTCCTCTGGCAAAAAAATGTTCATGCGCCGAAAATTTTGTCTTTTCTTTAACTTTCAAAAAAGCAACAAAAATATTGCGCAAATTAAAAAAACATTTTCTATACGTTTTCGTTTTTTTCCTATTTATTTTTTAATTTTTTTTTTCTTATTTCTTCCTTTTATTTTCTCATTTAATCTAAAAATTTTTATCAATTTATAATCAGAATTTAAAGTACACTACTTGCCATATAAAAAAAATTAATAAATTAAAATAAAATTTATTGGTAGGTGTGTTGGAATAAAAAAAAAAATTTAAAATAAAAAACTTCCGGATTCAATAGAAATTCAAAGAGGGCGGAAAAGGGAATTAATTAATTGAATTAAGCCAAACAATTGAGATGGGTAAACAATTGTGATTTGTAATTATTTATAAGATTAATAACTGAATATTGGTCACTGAACTAAAACTTATTGGAATTACAAAGGAAGCATGCCGTTATTAAGATATTGTTGAACTCTTTAAGAAACTTTAATAAATATTTTCGAATATATCATCACTAAAATCCCTTAAAATTGAATAATTGGATGGAAGATACCAAACTATCACATGCTTATCATATTCTCGCAATATAATTTTCAGTAGTCACTGATCGAACAACCCTGTTTCTGAATCTGTGATAAAAATCAATTAAATCACTTGGTTAATTAAGAAATTTTCTGCCAAATTGTTTTGTTAAAAAATTTAAGTAGCCAAGCTATTCTCAATGGTTTGGAAATTAAAGTAAATTAAAAAAAAAAATAATTGTAAATTTTCAATAACTTCAAATAAAAATTTCGTAAAAATTAAAAATCAACAACCTAAAAGTATGCAAATTTTTAGAAACTATAAATATCACTCCCATTTTCAGAATAATTATGCAATAAAAGTAAATTTCTTTTATCATTGTTAAAAAAATCAAAATTTTTAATTAAAATAAAATTATGAGAAACATTTAAGATGACATTAAATATGCTTTAAATTGATTTATGAATTTTGTCACTTTCAAAAATTCCGAACACTTTTAATTGCGCAAATTTATTACAAATTTTATTTTATTAATGCGCCAATGTCCAACATAAAATTTTTAATTGTTAATTTTTTTGTTGCGTTTAATAAGTTTATGTTAAGATTTGCCTGTGTCAATTTGTTTATAAATAAATTTAATTATTTATTTATTTATTTTTTTTAATTATTTGTTTACCAACTTAAAACAGCAGTGTCTAATGAAAATCACAAATTTTATAAGTAGAATTAATATTTTTAAGTTTCAACCTCTCATTCTTGTATATTAAAAATTTTTGCCTGTAATTCACTATTGCCTTAACAATAACGAATCAATTCACAATATAAACACATACAAGCTTCAATTATATAATTGCCTAGCAAATATGATTCTTCTGATCAAATACTTTTGCATAATAAAATTAGTTTTTACAAAATAAAATTGTCTTATTTAAATTACCAAGAGTGTAAATTTAAAATTTTCTTTAAAAACAAAAAATTAAAATAATAAAAAACAAAGTACATAACAATTTAAATTTAAATTAAAAAAAAGGCAAGAAAAACTGAAAATAAAATATATAACGAGATCCTCTTACCTAACATTTTTTTCGGATTTGTTGGTGCTGTACCACCAACAAAACCTGAATCATTGCTGCATGTACTCATACGAATTAAATAATTATTTTCACTTCTATTTAATTCATTCTCTTCACCAGAATCATCCTCAGATGATGTTGTTTCACATTCACTATCATCTTCAGTATCAGTTGTTTCATCATCACTGTCATCACTACTATCACTGTTATAATTTGTGAATTTTTCTGGTTTCCATAATGGTCGTGGGGTTGCAATTAACATATACTTATTAGCTGCTTCATCTTTAACAAATAATTTCTTAGCATGTTCTACTTTAATTCTATTACGATTGAAGGGTTGCGGTTCTGGAGCCGCAGCCTTTTCTTTTTGTTTTTTATCTTTACGTTTCATACTATCTGAATCACTTCCACTATTACTATTATATGAATTACTAGTATCACTTTTACTTTTTTGACTTGTATCTTTTACTTCAGCGTCAACATCAAATAAAAAGTCATTTAAATTTTGTATTGTATCGAATTTTTGTAAGTTTCCACTTTTTTTATTTTCGTCTAACTGAGCTTCTTTATTTTTATTTAAAACCTTTTTAAATGAAAGTTGTAGGGATTCACGTTCTCCCACTACTGGTTTTTCTAATGTTTTTGTAGTATTCTTTAATTCTGTATTATTTGAATTACTACTATCACTCTTTAAATTTTTCTTGTTCTGATTGCTAGCACCGTTGTCTATTGACTTATCATCGGAAATATTATTGTTTGCCAATTTTAATGTGGTAGCAGAAGCTACAGCAACATTATCTGTCGGTGTGGCTGTAGCTGTAGCGGATTTTATATTTTTTGTTGTTATTTTATCGTCACATGTTTTTGTTTTTGTTGTTGCTGTAGTTTCTGGTTTATTTTTATTTTTGGCATCAGACGAAATTTCTGAATTTATTTTTGCAATTTTATTATCATTTTTCACGTCACTATTAACAGTAGAATTTTTTCCTGCTTCTATAACATCATCATTACTTGCTGTTTTTGTTGTTGTTGTTATCTTATTTGTTTTGATCTTATCTTTATCGTTAAGTTTCTTTTGATCTGATGTTGTCAAATTTTTCGAAATTGTTGAAAGAGAATTATTCTCTTTTTCTAAGCTTTTATTCTCTTTATTTATTAAATTATCATTTGAAGATTGTTTAGGAACATTTTCCGTTGCTAATTTCTGATTATCATCTAATTGTGATGTAGATTTTTTTGAAGTGATTGGTGTTTTCTCTTTGTTAAGAGTTGATTCTGGTGATGTAATAGATTCTTGTGTTGACAATTGAATTGATGACCCAATTTCAAATTCTTTTCTATTTTTATCAATTTCGGATTTATTTAAAAGATTTGATTTGGCATTAGTTTCAGTTGCATTACTTGTTATTGTTGATTTCGATGCAATTTTATTTTCTTTTCCTTGTTCATTGAATGCGGAACTTTTAGCGTCATTAACTTTATCCGATTGTACTTTTGATAATTTGTCTATTTGCTTATTGAGATTATTTTCACCAATTTTTTTATTTGTTGTAATCTTATTTAGGCCAGGAGATTTAGGGGTTCCAGGTGAAGAAATATTTGTCGCTTTATTGATATCAGATGCAGCTACATCTAATGTAGGGGTTTCTTTTTTATTTTGATCGACTTTATTTTTTATTTCAGGTGACTTGGCATCTAGCCCAGATGATTTTTTTGGCAATTCATTTGATTCTTGTAGTTGTTGTGTTTTCTGTATATTAGACTTTTCCTTTGCTTTTGTTTGTGTTATAGGTGTAGACGATGCATCAGTCGCTTTTTTTAGTTTATTATCATTTACTTCTTTTGAATTTTTGGTTGATGCGTCATTTGTAGGTGCTTTTTCTTGACTGTCTTGTTTAAAAATACCTTTACTTTTATCGCATAATGCTGATTCATTTGATCGGGCTCTTCTATTTTCGGCTTGACCACTTGGTTCTATATAATTAGTTGCTTCTTTTAATTCTTCATGTTTTTGTATATTTACCTTTTCTTTAATTGTATCAATATTTTTCACATCTTTAATTTGCTCATTTTCGAGAAGAGTTTCTCTTTTTGCCCACAAATCCTCAATTAAACTTTTCTTTCGTTTATCAAAATAAATGGTTTCTCTAGAGCCGACCGAATTCCAAAAATCTTCCCCACTATCTGATTTTTCTACTTTTTTTCCGGATTTCGCTTTATTACGCAATTTTACTTCATCCGAACCTTTATTCAGTTCAGAAGTTTTGTTTTGTGGAGCTGATTTAGGTGTAGTTGCTTTACTTGCAGATGACGGACTCATTAATTTTTGTGCTTCAGAAATTGATTCCTCATCGAATTTAAAATAGTCTGGAGTAGATGGTTTTTTAATATCTTTTTTCGCAGCCGTCAAGTCTTTTTCAGAATTGTCAACCGAAGTTGCTGATTTTTTTAATTCCAACGCTTTCGGCTTTTTGAACGGGCTAAGAGGTGCCGATTTTGGTGTCTTTGGACTTCCTGGTGAAGCATCCGCCGTTTTCAATGGGGTCTTTGGTGCTGATATTTCACTTTGTGTTCCATTACTAGGTTTAATAGACACATCAGTAGTCTTCTTTTGTTTTGGTTTATCAACTAAACATTCTTCCATATTTTCTACTTTACCGTTTTTAGCATTCAACGGTGCTTGATTTTTTGTTATCTTCGCCGTCTTTGGGGAATCTTCCAAAGCATTCATATTTTCAATAGTTTCTAACTTTTTATCTGCAGCTTTCTTTTTCTTTTTCGGTAATTTTACAATTGTTTCAACAGTTTGATTTTCTTCAATAGCATCAACATTGTAAATAATTTTCGGTGATTTTTTTCCGGTTTCTGGGCTTTGTGATTGATCTTTATTGGATGATTCTAAAGGAAGCTTTTCATCTATCCTAAGTAATTGTGATGGATTATCAACATTAACAGTGGCAGTAATTTTATGTCGAATACGTTTCTTTTTAGATTTCCTTTTGGTGGATGGCACTAAATCAGGTGTACTTTCAACACGTTCCAAATGTATAAGTTGAACGGAACCAGATGCAGATTTTTGTAGTTGATTTAATAGTTCGATTTCTTGTTCTTGTATTAAAGAAGCCCTACGTCTTAACTCTCCGGCATTTAAGTCATCATCTAATTTATCTGAAGAAATATCTTCACAAAAATCTTGAAAATCGGGACATCTAGGAATGCTTAAACGCCTTTTAGCTGTATGTGTTACATTATCTACTTCTACAATTAAATCAGTTGGTTCACCTTCCTTAGGCTTCAAATTTTCTGGTACCTCTATATCTTGATCATCATTAATTTGGGCTTCAGTTTTATTTTCTTGATCCGAAATTGGAATAATATGTTTTTCGCGTATCAAATCACCTGGTGTTTTCTTCATATTTTTTATTGGTTTCAACAAATCTTCACCAACTTTTTGACGCCATGATACGGAATTATCTGTATCGGAAACATTTGAATGATTTAAATTGGTCGTATTTGCAGTATCATTATTTGTTGAATCATTAACAATTTTTTTCTTTTTAGGTGATGCCGATGATGATGAATTAATTGTAGTATTTTGAGATTTTCTTGGACGTGATATTGATAAACGTACAACTGTACGATTTCGTTTAATAGTTGATCGATTAATAAAATTAGAATTATAATCATTTTCGTTATTATTAGTAACTTTATTATCATCATTTTGTTCTTTTACATCCCTGTTATTATTATTAATATCAGTTTTCGATTCATCTACTAAATTATCTGTTTTCGATTCATTAATATTTTCTGTAATTGAAGTTGTAATTGGTGTCGATAAATTATAATTACGATATTTACTAGTATTACTTTTTTTAAAACGTTCTTCAGATACATCGATATCAGCTGTATTAATATTAATTGGACGTGCCGGTGTATATGTTGAATGATATGTTGATGTTATATCTGTTGATGAAACTTTCGGTGAATTGATACGTGTTAGAGAAGTTAAACCTCTTGATGTATATGGTGTTTCACTGATTGTTGATAAATTTGGACGATATCTTGAACTACTCGCATAATTTGATCGTAATGACGAAGTTGATGTTGATGGTAAAGAATATGTTAATGGACGTGTGTATGATGTATAAGCACCAGGTAAATATGATGAATAAGAATCTCTACTGGTGCTTGTAGCAATTGGAGCCCAATATAAACCAGAAGAATCAGTATATAAAGGCATTTTTGCCTATTTTGTGTATTTGTTCAATATGTATATAAAAATAAATTTTTTTTTTGTGTCGTTTCTTTCTTTCTTTTTTGTTTTTACTTGTATTTGAAAGATAATTATTTAAATGATCTTTTCATATTTTTGAAGGAACAGTATTATTGTTTCTTTCTTTTTTACATATTTTCAATAATTTTAGTATTTTAGTTTATTATTTTATTTAAAATATAAATTAATTTTCGTTTTAGACATTAAAATCATATAAAATTTATTATTATAAATTCAAAGAATTTGATCTTATGTAATAATTTTTATTTTTTTCAATATTAAAATTTCACTATGTAAAATACTCTTTGAATTTTTTTTGAAATAAAATTTTTGCTTTTTTTTTCTTTTTGTTTTATCTCACTTTTACTCATTTATTATTAAATTTGTATTTAATTTGTATGGCACTAATTATTCGCGTTATTTTTGGTGTTTCAAAAAAAAAATTTTTTCTGCAATAATTTTCATCAAATTTTGTATTTAAATTTAATAAATTTTTAAAAATTTTGTTTTAATTATTTTTTATTTTTTATTCAAATTTAAGATTTAAAAATCACAAATAATCCAACCCTGACATTAAAAACAAAATTTTTTATTATTTTTTCTTATTTTTTTAGAGAATTATAAAGAGAACCGTTTCAAAAAATACAATACAAATTCTTATATACAAATATAAAAGGACAAATCTATATTTTAAAATTATAAAAGATTTCGCGACCGTGTACAAAACAAATTATTTAATAATTATTCCTTCCACCGTTGTTCGAAGACTGAATATGAAAAGAAAAAATATTTGTGTTACAGTTGAGATTGAAAAAGAAAGAATTTTTTTCTTCTTGTTTTTAATTTTTTTCTTGTTTTTTTTTGCTGTTGTTATGAAAAATGTTATTCTCAATATGAAAAGGCAAAAATTCATGTTAAAATTTGAAAACAAAAGAAGATCTTTGAAAAAACAAAATTTTCTTATTTTTTTTCTTTTATTTTTTTTTTTTTTCATATTTCCAAGGAGAAGAAAATTGAAAACAAAGTGTTACAATGAAATCAAGTGAATTATGAGAAATTGAAAATTTATAAAGAGAAATAAAATCTTGTACTCATAGAAGAAGATCATAAAGAAAATATTATAATGTTAAATGCTCTGCTCAGCAAATCATACAGAATTTTTTTTTTTATTTCATACATGGTTAAAATTTTTTTCATTTTTGCTTTCATAACATTCCTTATTCTGATTTTTCTGTTAGAATTTGAGAGCAACAGCCTTTAAGGTCATTTGTATGTCTGGTATGTCTATAAAAGAAAAAAGAGAGAAGGGGGCAATATCGACAAGGTAATCAAAAAAGAGAGAAAAATTTCGAAAAAGAAAATGTCACAAAAAAAATAAATTTTTTATGTATTTTTGACCCCCGAACAATGAGTTTTTTTTTAATATATACCTAGTATATATGGAAAACAAAAAAAAATTTTTTTTTGTATTAATAGAGAAAATAAATTGTCATTATTAAAAAATAATTTTTTCGCTTTTCGGTTTCTGGTTTATTAAAAATATTAAGTAAAAATAAAATCAATTCAAATAAATTAAAGAATTTCTATATGTGCACTTATAGAATAGGATAATCACATGTTTATTTGATTGTAAATAGTGGCATTTTTTAAAATTTTGGCAAATACTCTTTTACGATTAATAACTAAGTCTTATAAATTAATTAATTTTATTTGCATTTCAAAATTAAGCTTATTTACACGAAGTTTATTCTACTATTATAAATTTTTAGGAATTTTTCCATTAATACAATAATGTTATACAAAATTTATACAAATTGCGCATAATATATTTTTACGATTGTGAACAACTTAACTTTTTTTTATTAAAAATGCTAATTGCTCTAATTAGAATATATTTTCGAATTATACACTTATGAGTTTTGTAGGAAGGGTATACAAAGTTTGTTACTCCGTTCAGAAATTATAACAGTAAAAATAAATGGTTTGCAGCACTAAGATTGCCTGGTCTTCCTATTTCAGTGATAAATTTTTTTTGCGTTAAATTGAGCCAATATTAATTATATAAATTTATTGTAATCAATTATATAATTGATTTGTGTAATTATCCAAGTACATGTCATGCAATTTCTTAAGTAATTTAAACATATTTCAAAAATTTACACAAGCCATTCCGGAAAAAATTTGGTACAGGCTCCGTACGTACGTCTGGTTGCTGTTATTAATGTCTCGAAAAGCATTCGTTATGTGTTTTAAAATTTATTTGTTCTCTTTCACACGGATTCCATATAGATATGATACCTATCCTAAAAACATTCGCATACGGCTATCAAAAAATTCTTTCCCATTAATTAAATTTTTTCTCATACAATTCATTTCAGGTGAGCCCGCCAAATATAATTAATAATTTAATTTAAAATTCCTTTGTTCTCTTATTTTCTCTCGCTGTCTTTTCACAAGCATAAGATATAAGCTAAAGAAGTTTTATTATTATCTTTTCGTTAACAATTCTGGTTCTGTAAGCTTGTAAAAAAAAAATTGATTTTACTGCATAACATACATGCAAAATACATAATTTGCATATAAACTGTATAATAAAATACAATTTGTATTATATGCTGCCATTAATCTAAATTCTCAACTTAATTACCTAATCGATAAACAAACAAACATACTAATAATAAACTAATAATTAAATCAGTTCATTCTATTTAAGCCCATACAAACATTTACACATACTTACATATATTATATAAAGAAAACAAGAAAGAATAAGAATAAGCCTACATTAAAATTGTTACAGTTATACAATTATATATATATTGCGTTAGTCACGTTCTATAATTTGATCAAAGGCCAAATATAAAACACAAAAAAAAAGAAAAAGAACAAATAAATTTCTCCCAGGTATAAATCGGTAAATTTTTTAATAAATTTCTTTTACATATGTACGTATATAATATTTATATATAGCTGCTTAACAATCGAAAATAATAATTTGTTAATTTGCGTCTGACCAAAAATAATACAACAGAATAGACAACAGAAACTTTCATCTCTTATTTTTTTTCTTTTTATTTTGAATTTCTGTTGATCGCTCATTTACTTTTCAACTCCTTTTATTCTTTTATACTTTCTCTTAGAAATTAATCTGGAAAAAATTTCAATAACAAAAAAAACATAGAAATAACATTTAACAGAATATTCTGTAAAAAAAAACCTCCTCATTTTTCATTTCTTGAGAGAGGCTCTCATTTCTCATCATGGCAAATATCAAAAAAATCTCATAATAATAATTAGAGTATAATTTGTATGTCAAAATGTTTGCTTAATAATTAAATTTTTCTTTTCAATATTTTTGCTGTTTTTAACTTGTTGATATAAAAAAATTTTTATTTTTATTTTTAAGCTTTTGATTTTCTCCTGCTTGTTTGGTGTGTTTTTTGCTTTTTGCTGACAAAGTACGCGTCAATCTGCCACATTTATCATACAAGAAAATTATTGAGAAAGAACAGAAGTAAATTTTATTTTTTACTTTTGTTTTTTGTTTCATAGTCCACAGACTCAATTATGAAATTTTATAAATCAAAATTAATTTAATTTTTTTTTTAATAATAAACATTTATAATGTATTTTTATTAATGGTTGGAAAGAATGAAAACTATTTTTATCTCGCAACTTCAAAATGAAGAGCATGAAAAAAAAAAACAAATCGTAGGTAACTATTTTACTCTTTTGTTTGTTTGTTTGTTTTAAATGATTGTCGTGTGTTTATGACGACATTTTTATTTGTTTTGCTGTTAATGATAATTCAATATGGTTTATTTTTAAATTAGATTCTAAATTCTGGACCGCATTTTCAAAATTTTACTATTATATAAAAATGAAATTTTAATTTATAAATAATGTACATAAATTTTCGTTGTTGAATGACATTTTGATAAATTAATTTTGAATAATTTATAGTACATATACAATTATAATATAAAAACTTTAAGTTGAATATAAAACAAAATTTACAGTAAATTTCAATTAAATTTAATTTGGATATGGAATTTTAAAAATATTAAATCTTATTACTTAGTACAATTTTTTGACAGAGAGAAAAGTACAGAAAAGTACAAAATGATCCAACTTTGAATTCCAAATGATATTGTAATTGAAATGATGCATGTAATAGAAATTAACAAAACAATTTTTGAATTTAAATTGTAATTAATGATTTTCGTACATATATCATAAAAAATTGCATATTTTTGGGTGCAAAGTTATTCTCGCTCATATACTAAAAACTAATATCTATTTAATATAAAATTTTTATCGAACAAATTTCATTCAATTAAGGATAAATTGAGTTCGAACAAAGCTTCAAATATTGAGTTTTTAACTGAACAGCACTGCCGGTAAAATATAGCTTAGAGAAAAAATTTTCTCTGAAAGTTACATAGCGTTTTGTACATTTCGTTGCAACAAAACAACAATAAATGTTTTGAAAATACATAAATTTAATTGTTAAAATTGTTGATTTTTCAAATGCAATCTTTAATTTATTGCTTTCATTAAAAATTTATAGTTAAATTAAATTAGAATTTTAAAATATCGGAAAATGTTCATGAACATTTATAGTTACTTTTGGTTATTATTGTAAAATGATGTCTAAATTATATTTCAGTTTACAATGTTATGATTGTAAAGCTATTTAAATAATTATAAAAAATTTCTTTGATCCCTTTTTCCTTCAAAAATTTTTATGAAACTGGATGTGAAAACAACAAATACTTAATAAATTAAAATTTTAATTGTTAACAAGCCCATAAATATGAGAAAATTTTGAGTTCGTGGACATTCATTTACACATCTATAATTCTTCATTAGTTCAACTTTTCAGTATAAAATTTTATACAATTGAATTTAATATATAAGTAAAAATAAAATGAAAATTACTAATAAATATAAAAATATTTTCCAGTTAATATGAAAATTAAATTGAAATTTCAAAATGTTTTC